CTCTTTGATATTGGATTGAAAAGCTAAGTCACATCATGCTAACTGGCTTATTAGCTTAATCTAGTAAATAGCTGCTTTGTTTGTTTGTTGTGTTTATATACTACCAGATTCAACAGAGATGACTCTTGGTGGTTTACAATATTAAATTATAAAGACAAATAAAAACTTAAGCAGTCATAAAAGTGCTAAGTAACAATTCATTGCTTGAAGAAACTCTAATATTTTCCAGAAGACTAGCAATGAGGGTACCAATCCATTCTCAAGAAAGACATGTAGCAGAACGTGTTAAGGCAATGGGCTAGAAATTAGAAGAACATGATATCTAGTCATACCTTAGGCATGAAGCCAAGTGAGACCTTGGACAATTCTCTCTTCTCGGGGCAGGAAGAAGAACTCAGTGGCAAACCAATTATGAAATCTTGTCAAGCAATGATTTGTCCAGAGAGTCACAATGAGTCAACAGCAAATGACGATTACACTAATAAATGGGTAAATATTATTTATTTATTAGTGTAATCATTATTTGCTGATTGGTTGAACCCACATAACACATTAAGTCATAGATCATATTTAACAACTACAATGGCAAACTTTGCTAAGTTAAAAGGAAGAGATGGCAGCCAATATTAGAAAACTTTCTGTATTTCTAAAATGAAGATGGGATTATCAGGAGATGTATGCATTTAATATAGGTCAATTGCATATATTTATTTGTCTTATCTAATTAAAAAAGGTAAAACAAAGATTCGTAATAAAAAAAACTGGGATATGAAATATATATCAAGGAAAGGGTGATAATATGCAGGTAATATCATATTGCATGTATTATCAAAGGAGGCCAAGCAAGGAAATATTACCAGGCAAGTGGAAGTCAGCTTATATCGTATTAGATATATTTTCAATGAATTAATGGAACGGCCCATATTTAATTGAAACAATTGTACAGTAACCAGATACTCCCTAAATTTTATAAAAATTAAATGTTTTGCATTCACTGTATTGTACTTGAAATTAGTACTGTCTGTCAAATAACCTAGAAGACATTTTATATTTAGTCAAGATACTATTATTAGTTTTATCTTTGTGGCAAATAAACAGTTTCTAACTTAGACCCTGAAGAAAATGGCCGAACATTGTGTTTTTTTAAAAGAATTACATTCTTTTTGCATAAGAGAGAATGAAAGGCTCTCTTTTATGACTTTACATAAAAGAGGGGATAATCAATTTGTTGTGTAACTCAAAGCAATAATAATAGTTATAATAAATAAATAATAAAAAATATAATCTGGGGAAGGGTAAACAAAAGCAACAACAACAAAAAGAACCGCTGTAATGATAAAAAAAATAAAAGAATAAAAAGATAAAAGAATTAGATTCAGTACATGGATACAAAGAGATGAACCCAAATGTAACCGTATCTGTGAGAACAAAGGAATCAGAGTAATATATTCCTTAAGTAAAAATAAATGGCTAGCCAGCGAGATTAGGAAACTTTGCGCTAAAGAACAAAGTGGGTCTCATCTTCAGAGTTTTTCTTTGCTCCCAAAGACTGTTTTGTTTGCTGAACAAAGCTTCTCAGCGGCTGGTACTGATAACTGTCTATCTTGTGACAGTCAACTTTTATTAGCTCTCTCTGAAAATCATTCACCATTAAACACAGTTGGATTCATTTGTTATTTTGTTTACATTTGTCCTTGTTAATGGTGCCAATGAAAATATCTTTAGTGTTGTCACTACTTCTGATCAGCCAGACTCATTGTGGTATCCATTTTGTCCTCAGGGTAAGAAGAGTGACTTTTGGGATCTGCTGAACCTGAAGATTGCTTGACAGAAGTTTCTGAAAAGGTAAATTTAAAAAAATCCATATTTTTTTCGTACTTGGTTTTTATTGCATTTTTACCTTGCTGGTCTGCTTGTCCATAAAAGCACTTCTTCACACAGACATCTACAATGTTTACATTTCCTGACATTCCTATCTAGGAATAAAATGAGAATGAGAGCGTCAGTATGATAAAAATCAAAATTAGTAGACTATCCTACAACTGTATTAAAATCATACTTATGCTGTGGAATGCTGTATATGTTTTCAGTGAAAATTTCTTCTTAATGTTAAGAGTAGTCGCCTTGCAATTCACTCCTTATAAAACATTATAAAAGTTTTGTTGTTATGTTTAGTTTATATTACGTGTAGACTTTGTCATAGGCTTGATTGGTAAGCAAGTTTGTTAAGTTTGTTAAGTTTGTTATGAGATATGGCAGAATCTTTTCCTCTAAAAGAAGCAGTGAGTAGGATGGTTGGGTTGTACTCATAAAAGAAATATCACTCACTCATTTCAAGCAAATTTACACAGGAGAATAGCCTAAGGCTGAAATCCATGGAACATTTGATTCAAAGTAACTTTGATTGAAATCAAGGAGACTTAAGATCTCAGGTTAATCTTGTACAATAGGTTGCTTCCTGCGGTTCACAACTATTTTCAAAAGTTCTTGATGAGAACCAGAGTGAAGCTAATTTTGCTTTAGAGTATTCCTGTTTCTCTCTAATTTTGGTATACTTTTAAAATCTATTTGTGTATAGGTGTGCCTCTTGAATAGTTAACGATTAATGTCTTTGTCTTCGTAATGGTATCAGCGCTGTGTAAAGAAACCTATAGTTTTTCCATCTTAGTACATGCAGAAATATTTCCTTTAGGAAACACTATCTAAAAGTAAGCACTGTTGTTGTTCTGCTTTACATTGGATCTTAATATAATCTGAAATGCGCATGAATGTAGACTATATGACAGGAGAGACCATCTTTGGAAGTCAATGGGAATATGGATATTTTATACAAAAGGTTTTCCGGTGGCTGTGGTCAGACAGGAAACATCTTTTTACCAGAATAAAAGCTGGTGAAGTTACTACTTGCCATCTAATAGGCTTTAATATTTTTTTTTTCACCATACTTTATCTTTAACTTGTTCAAATAAATGAACAAAAAACAAGGAATTTGATAGTCAAACAGGGATATGTCCATCTGGCCAATGTTGTCTCCTTATGCTACATTATTATATATTGTTTTGCATTACAAATGTACTATTCTTCACTTTATTGTATTATACTGTTCTTTCTAAAGGGACCAACCATTTATATATTATATGATATTTGCTAAAATTCAATTGTAAATAAAATTTTTATAATATTAAATATTTATTTTGAAAATATCTAAAACAATATATTTATCTAAAGACTAAATGCAGGCTTGCTGCTTGTGTTTTTATGTTGAGAAAAATATTATTTCGAGAGCTGTTTCTTCAAAATAATATGATATGGTGAGAGTTCACAAAGTCGCTTTTGCATTATAGGAAAAGTATGATGCATTTATCAACCCTGTTTTGGTTTACATTATCACTCTGGTTAAAGTATTGATTGATTTAATTGTTGGTAAGTGACATCAAGGTTTTCAGCAGGTTTCAATAGAATTTAAACTATTAATAAGTTCAATAAATGGAATATATTTAAAATCACCTGTAATTATGGAATGAACAATAAAGGTTGACATACAATAAGATATTCAGAAACCACATTTATGATAGTTTCCATTTTGTACTAAAGGAACCACTTCGAAGTACTATTTCCATGTTTGACTAACCATGAAACTTAGATGATTCAACTTGAGTAAATCTCTATAGAGCAGAACAAAGAAGTCAGAATGGAGGAAAGTGCAGTTGCTTGCTTTACACAAGTGTGTGTTATTTCTTTGATGTATGAAAGGGAAAACACTGTCAGAAAAAACAGTTGACAAAATCTTATCTTCAAGTCTTTTCATTGCTATCCATTGCCACTGTAATTTAATGTAAATTTGCTGCTGGCCATCTTCTTTTTCTTTCCAAGGAGGGATGATAGGAGCGTGGTAATGTTCAGGGCACCTTCATACAATTAAAGCACATGAAATAATTATGTACAGTCCTCGACTTCAACAGTTCATTTAGTGACTATTCAAAATTATGAGGATGACTAATTCCCATTTTTCACATTTAGCATCCCCATGGTGATGTGATTAAAATGTTTAGCAACTGACTCATATTTATGACAGTTGCAGTGTCCCACGCTGTTGTGATCTCT